TGTTGCTGCTTCGGTAACCGTACACTCCGCCGTTGGCCGTACAGCAGTTTACGAGGCACACTGCCACCACCCAGACGCCCCGGAGGTAGGTTCTCGACCCGCAGGCACCCCTGTTACCTTTTGTTGGTAGAGAACCTCCCAGGCCCCTTCCCGGCGCTCGGGTCAAGCTTGGGGGCGGGAGCGCGCGGGCCGCGGGGGCCGGGGAAGGCCTGGGCTCGCAGCGGGCGGCGAAGGGAAGAGGCTGCGGAGGTAGTCCTGGAAAACGCCCCCTCCCCGGCTCTCTCAGCGGTTGGGGGACGTGAACAGAAGTCCAGGATCTCACATTTGTAATCTGCGTGCTGTGATTTGTATCATCCCTTAGAGAGAGGATCCTGGCGGGCCGAGACACAAAGTCGGGAGACCTGTAGATTCCGCCTGGGCCACACCTGCGGCCGCTCTCTTGGCCTCTCTGGGCCCAAGCTCCCTCCTCTACAAATAAAGCGGTTCCAGAAAGAACCTTTAGAGCCACCCCTCAGATTGGAAATGCTGTGTGTGAACTGTTTCCCAAGGGCAGCTGAAAGGAAAGCGAGGTCTTGGCAGCCCCTCTTTGAAGCCCAGGGTACGTCAAAAATTTAGAATTCTCTCTGGTTTTGCTTTTCAAGTAATTTATTGCACTTTCTTTGCCGTCTGGAAAATGAGAATCTGTAACCCTTCCTCCTCATTAGCCTTGCTGTGATGGTTGAGAAAATGCATATGTGAACAGCCTTGAAAGGGATACCTGTCAACATATACACAGTAATTGTATGTACGCATATGGGTACTCGATCATTCTATTTTTACTGCCCGAAACCTACCTGATGGTGTCTAACCTTTATTGCATCTTTCAAGAGCCCCAGTGTTTGAGGCTTGGAGATTTTCTGTTTGAACTCTAAGAAAGTCATGCTTCCAGTGCCCTTGGAAGAGGAAGGGAAGAAGTTTGTTCTTCTGGTTATTTTTTGTACCACAAATATGGAAAAGAAATGTTGCCTGTGACCACACACACGTAACTTGGCTTCTTGGGTCAGCATCCCTTCCCTGTAAGTCTGTCTAACACTGCAGTGCTTTAGAATGACAGAACCACGGGGTTCATCTCGAACTGGGGCTATTGCTGCGTGTCAGGTGGGTGCCATTCTGGACCAGGTAAGCCACCCTGCAAATATAAGGGATTCTCTCCTTTCTGTGATCCTTCAAGATGATGATTAAAGGCTGGGCCTCAGGTCAGACAACTGTTAGGTTCCAATCTGGGCTTTGCATCTGACCAGCTTTGTGTTGGCTAGCTACTTAGGCCTGAAGCTTCAGGGTCCTACCTACAGAATCGAGATACCAGCTACCTTGAATAATGTACGGATTAATTGTTGTGGTGCATGCATATAGTAAATGCTTAGTAGACAGAAATTATAATTATTATAGGCCCAGATAATCTGAAGAGATTGAATTACTTCTTTCTCCAAAGCAACCTACAGAGTACAACTTTGTAACTCAGTGAAGGGCCCCACGTTTGGTTTCCTGAGAGTAGGCTTAGACCTGGTAACAAAGTGAGCTGTCTTCATTCCATTTCTTTCCTCTCCCCTCCTTTTCTTTCGCAAAAGGAGGAGAGAGGAAAGGTCATGTTCTTGTTTCAAAAAATGTTCCTTTCCAGCGGCCAAGCTGCCAGAAGTAAGCCAGGGCCTTTTAACAATGCTCGTCCCCGCCAGCACCCGCGGTGGGGCCGGCACCCAGAGTGGAAAATGGAACAGTGAGAGGCAGGTGCAGCCCCCAGAGCTCCCGGGGTGGCATCCCGCTGTGTGGGCGCCTGCTGCCCGCGCTGGTGTCTTCACCTCCTTGAGCTGCTGGTTCGTCTCTGTGTCCCCCTGTCGTGTCCAGGGGGAATGTTCAATACCTGCTGTTTGTTGACCACACAGAAATGACAGCGGCACCATCAAGAGAACACGCGCTTTGAGCTCCTTTTCCAAGAATGGCAGTGGATTTGCTTTGATCCATTCATGTGACCGGGGGCACACTTGGTGAGGGTCAGGGAGGTAATACGTGACCGCTGAGTGCTTCAGGAGGGAACAAGGGCCCTTGGCCTCCTTGGGCAGCCCAATCCTTATTTAACCCAGCCGAATTAGGGCCCAAATGAGTCCAAGGACTGTTCAGGGAAGCTGGAAAGAGTATGAGGGAAGAAAAAGCAGAAGAAAGTCCTTCAGGTGGTTCGCCCCCAGACACCCAGACTGTCCTTTCAGAGAAGTTAGAAGTGGAACGGCTGCTCCATCCAGCTTGACTCTGCTGTGTCTGTTGCCCTTTGTTCTCTTTCCCGTCTTCCCTAAATTGCCCCCCACCCCCACTCTCCACCCCCTCCTTAAAAAGCCCGAGAGTACTTGAACCCCTGAACTTCTGGTCTCCTGGTCCATCCAGGATCAAAGCCGACAGGGTCTTCTGTACTATTACATGTGCTTTGAAGTCGGGTTTTTCTCTGTATCCAAGGGTGGGTGGAGTGGGAGGGCAGTATCACAGGTAACAACTTTGTTCCAAATCTGCAGAAAAGCCCGGGACTGAAAAAAAAGCATTTCTTCAGTGTTTCTCTGCTGCCTGAAATAAAGGCCTTGTCTTGGGTGGCCTTTACCTGTGAGTTCTTCTGAGTTTCTTTCTCTCTTTTTTAAAGGACACATTCTCACTCTGCAGGTTGTAAGCCCTTCACTGAGTGATCTGAGCGTGCCTCCCCGGGCTTGTGTGGTTGCCTTCACTCGTTAGAGACACGATTTGGGGTAAGGCTCAAACATACCCAGATCTTCAACCAAAACATGCAGTTTGGGAAATGGAATTTTTCCTATATTTGAATGATTTCAATAGGCATTCAACAAAAGCCTTAACTCACTAAAGAGACAAGCTGAAACCCAGGCTTGAGGAACTCCCTGCAAACCCAACCCAGAATTATAAACTTAAAATTTTTTTTTAATAAGCCAATACCGATTCTTTCCTAAAGAATAGACCATTGTATAATCTTCACACACAACAAAAATGAAACTAAAGGGAGAAAATGAAACAGCCTTGGAAGTCGATGTCATGACTCTTAAGCCTAATTTTGGGAAGAAGCTGCAGTTGCTGAGTTTTCAAATTTCATGCAACATAATTAAAGAAGGAAAGACCAGATTTTACCTAACACTGACCCAGAGGAATTGTTTTTTATGTCCGTTCTCATGGTTTGATATTCTTAATCTCAGGTTAGCAAATTAGAAGTTCAAGTATTTTTCTTCAGTCTGACTTCTGTTGAAGGCCCCCTGAAATCATCCAGATAGGTGGAGCATTCCACGTCCCAGCCTGCACCTTAGGACTGAAGGTTTGGGTCTGAGCCCTGCCCCCAAGTCTTGTCTCTACTAGGAAACTGCTTGGACGGTTGGGAAGAATTAAATTCATTTTCTGGATGCTTGGGCAATACTTAGGCTAGTATCTTATCTAACAATATGGGAAAATCAGTCCTACTGAGAGAATTACAGCCGTGCAATTCTAGAATTCATCTTCACATCATTCTGTCTTAGCAGTGAGGAAGCTGAGGCCTTGATCACTTGCCGCATCTTACTGGAATCACCTTAGTGCAGTATTTCACAGCCCATTGTGCTTCAAAGGTGTAACTCCCTCGAGAGCCCTTTTCTGTTTCCCCTCCTTCAGCCTTCTTGGCCTGTGGATGGTGCCTTCCTGCGCCACCACCTTGTAAACTCTGAAATCCCTACTGTACCCACGAAGGGAAGTACCCAGGGCAGGGGGCCCCCCAGTTTACCACGGAATCCTGTATCGTGGCTTACCCAGTGCCTCACGTACAGCGGACATTCAAGGTATTCTGTGCGAATAACTAGATTACCAGGGGAAAAATGGCTGTATGACAGGTTCTCTTTAAAGGAATCTTTGGAGCTCATTCTGCATGTTTAATCTGTCTCATTGTTTTGTGAATCTGGGATTTTCACAGACAAATTTTGTTCCTAATTCTCAGTGTACATATGAATCTTTGTTTTCTAGATTGATTGAAGCATTATTGAAACTTCTTTAAAAGTTCAGAAAATTTAGTGTCATGGTCAAAAACTGCTTGGATCAGAGTGCGTCCTTTACTTGGTATTCCTCCCGGTACACCCTCAGCTGGACCCACAAGTCCTTCCTCCCGCACCCCCATCCCATTAGTTGATTTGAATCCCTGTTCATTTCACGTTCACATGCCAAGTTCCAGTGGGAAACAAACAGCCCTCGGGTTCGTTTTCTGGATGCTTGGGCAATACTTAGGCTTGGTCTGTGTTTTTTCTGACCTCCTCTCCCCTCCCCCCACTCCTTTTAAACAGGTTCTTGGGAGGCTTGTTTACAGGTTCGGAGTGAGAGGTTTAACTGGGGTGATGTGAATGTAGTGCCCTCTGGTGGAATGTTTGGAGAATTACAAATTTCTCCCCCCAAGCTAAAGAGTGGAAAGTTTCTCCGCTGGCCCTCGCCTCTCTGTTACATCTCAAAGATAGTAAATAATAACACGCGAGTTTATTACCTACACTGGATATTTAAGTTGGGGGTACCAAAGGTTACCAGAGGTTTGTCCATCATTATAAAATTAGGCCTCAAGCGACTAGAAATTGGCAGCTAGCGGCATCTGTGCTATTTCATCGTCTCCCATCAGATGTATGCACGAGAGGTAAAGGGAAAAGGAGGGCTCCAAGAAAGGCAACTGAAAAGGGTCTCGGGACCAAGAGTTAGGGGAAATGGCCACAAACGAGTCTTAGCTTCAGTGCTTACCCTGATCTGAGCCCAGATTTTTAAGACCTAGCCAGGAGTTGAGTCTTCCAGACTCTCACTCCCCGGGGGGAACTGGCGGGGGCAGAAAGTGTGACACAGACACACCTTGTGGGGGGTCTAGAGTATTTATCCTGTGCCACTTGCTCCAGGTAGGCCTTCTGGCTGAGTCATTGTTTCTCTCTTGTCCGTCCTTCCTCCCCCCTTCCCTCCCCCTTCCTCCCTCCATTCTTTCTTTCCTTCCTTCCTTCCTCTTCCTTCCTTTCTCTTCCTTTCTTTTCTTTTCTTTTCTTTTCTCTTCTCTTCTTTTCTTTCTTTTTCTTTTTCTTTCCTTCCTTTCTTTCTTTCCTTCTTTCTTTCTTTCTTTCTTTCTTTCTTTCTTTCTTTCTTTCTTTCTTTCTTTCTTTCTTTCTTTCTTTCTCTCTCTCTCTCTCTCTTTCTCTTTCCTCCTCTCTTTCTTTTTAATAATTTTATTTTGAGGATCACTCCCTTCTCCATTGCCATTAATAAGGTCTTTGTGGCCCAGAGGACACAGTCGCTGGCCTGAGTCAGACACACCTGCGCTGGAGTTCCTGCCTTGCCTCGTGCCAATTGTAAGACTCGCACAAGTCAACCTGCCAGTCTCAGCTTTCTGGAGGCTCCTTATAGAAACATATGAGGATTAATAAACAATAACAGAGTATGCAGTTTGGAAACAGATTAGTGGATTTTGTTATCCCAAGAACGAGGAAGAGAGTGCTTGTTAAGGAGGTGACTCAGGCTTTGGGACTGTTGGTGTCTTCCCGACGTTCCCAGAACCTCGGGCCTGTCCGGCAACGCATTTAGAAGGAACAGGTAGGCGGAAATTCTGGAAGCAAATAAGCCTTTATCATGCATCAGCTATGCTACATATTTGGTGCGTACATAGGGGGTTATGTAACTGGGATGTGAAAGAAAACCTCCTCAGGGAAAATTATTTCAGAAACAGAACAAAGGAAAATGTGTCAGCTGTCTGAGCAAATTAACAAGGCGGATGTACTCTAAGTGCCTAGGCGTTCCAGAGCAAAGCAGTCAGTAAGAATATTGGAGAAGGCCTCCTTGAGGGTGCTCAGTGGGGTCAGGGTGAAGGTGGGTTTTATGCTGGGTGCCAAACACATGGCAACAGTGTGATGGTGGGATGGCTTTCTGTGAGATTCAAGGCAGTGAAATTTGCAAAGACCCAAGGATAGGATCTAGTAAATTCTGTGTGCAGTGGCAGTGATGGAGCAATACCTAAGTTTTGGCTGGAACAGGAGCAATAAAATATGAAGTTGGGGCAGTATTGAGCATTTGAATTATATACAAATTTACAATCTGCAAATTTGAAATGTTGCCATAGCTCTAATGAAGTTTCACCCTATTAATCTGAATTTGAAGTGAAGCCAATGCTTAAAAACTGGGGCAGAGCAAAACATTTTCAACCTGTATAAATTAATTATAAATTCGGTTCATGCTACTTCCACATGGTGGCGCCACTTTGGTGCGCAAACAGAAGTGTCCCCTGTTCTTTGTTGGGATGAGATTTGAATGGTTCCAGTTTTGAGTGTGAGAAATCAGTGTTCCCTCAGGTAAAAGGCTGGAGAAGCACCTGGTGACGGCATGGCTGCTGGACTCTCCTCAGCTCCCTTCAAAGGCCTCCCTGCTGCATTCTCTTCCCCTCGTGGCTCTCTTTGCTCACTTGCCTCTCCCCCCTCCCTACCCCCAGCCCCCGACCAATCCCGCCAGTGTCCCCTTCTTGTCTCCTCGGAGATTAGAGATTCAGGGACAGGAGATGTGCCAGCAGATGGAGACCAGGCTCTCCTGCATGGCCATTACCTTCACCGGGGACCAAAGAGGGTACAATGCACGCGTCGGAGAGAACCGCAAGGAGGCAGAGGGGTGGACAGCGTGCCCGGCAGCGCAGGCCCGGTCTCAGGCAGAGCTCTGAGGAAGGAGGAGAGCCTGGTCCTCTTTCTCTGACTGCTCCACCTCCTGCAGCAGTTTGTAGACGGGCCCCACTGCGCTCGTGTGACATGGAGCATCTCTGGACCCGGTCAGCCTCACGCTGGGACGGTAACAATGGTACCAAAAGCAGGAGACGCCGTAGATCCCCAGCAGGCACAAAGCGTTGACCATCACGTGCCAGCAGAAGAAGGTGGTGACAAACATGATGTCATTGATGTCATCGTCCTGCCACGGGTAGCCGGTGACTGGTTTGTATAGAATGAAGCCCGCCTGTATCAGCCAGGAGCCCATCATCTGAAACAGAAAGGTCTCGATCACGGAGAGCTGAGCCGTGGCCGGAGTCCACAGCGCTGCCGTCAGCAGCAGCGTCAGCAGGGCCACCACCAAGATGAGCAGAGCGTGAGTCTGCAGCTCCACCCCTTCCGAGTCCTGGATGTGTGACACCAGCAGCAGCAGGAGCACGTAGCAAGTCAGCACCAGGGTCCCTTTTTCTAGGAGCAGACAGCGCTGAGGCAGCAGGTTCCTGCTCGTGACGTCTACAAAGCCGTGGAGGGTGAGGAGGACGAACATGGTGAGATGCTGCCACTGTTTGGCGTACATGAACCTCGGGGGCAGCTCCCTGTTCATCAGTATCAGCCCCCCTTTGACGCAGCTGATCTCGTAAGCTATCAGGATGGAGCCAGCCAGCGTCTTCAGCAAACCTCCGTAGGATGCTTGCCACAGCCTGGCCCATCTCCCCTTGTTCCCGGGAGGGGATGAAGGATGCAGGAGAGAGTCATTGAATATCACGGCTTTGGAGACCACGACGGCTTGATAAAGTCCATATGAGAGTAGAAACAGCCCGGGGTACACGTGACCGACAAAGGTTCCCATTGAACTACAGATCTGTCTGACGAAGGCGAGAAGAGCAAAACTCGGGCACGTCCACACCTTCTGGGGCCACGCCAAGGTCTGGACTTCAGCAAGAATTGCCTTCCACCAACTTTTATCATTTCATGCCACCCACTGCTCCCCCACAGAGAGGAAATGTTTCTTGAAAGCGACCTCTGACTTTGGTGGCATAAAGCCTCATTATTCCATTCTGTTCTGGGACATTGGGACCTAACTGGCTTCTGCCAAAGAAGAAAGTTGGTGAATGTGCCTTTGGGGGCTCCCCTCTAGGGCCGGTGTGGTGCTTCTGGTCACATCTGTCCCCTTCTCCCATGGCTCCCAGCACTCAGAGGAGGAGAGAAGGGCGTGGGATGGGGGAGGGGCTGCCATGGTCTCCAGGGAAAGCCTGGGCACGCACAGGTCCGTGACTGCCCCTCAGTATTTCTCAGACATAACTTTGGCCCAATTGCAAGGTTCTCTCTTTGGACACATATACTTAAAAACATTTGGATATATGAGCATGTAATACATATTTCACATCTGGCTTTCCTGTTCTCTTATAGACCCATTCTGAGGATCACCAAGAAAGCTCCCTCCCTCACCTCCCCTTCCCTCTTCACATCCCCACCTGTGTCCTCCCCCACTTCAGCATCTCCACTGCCCAGTAAATGGATCTGAAAAGCTACCTTTCGGCATTTATTTTAGGACAGTGGTAGTTTTTGCGCTGTGTCAACCTAACCAAGCTTGAGCTGTGTTTGAGGAGTGCCCTTCCCTGTGTGGTTCCAGGTGGAGTTGGCGACAAGAGACGCTTACGTGAGGGTCTGAAGGTGGAAGGGAAGCAGCAGCCTAAGACACTCTGAAGGGGTCGGGGGCCAGGAGCCACCGTAGCTCGGGCCCTCAGTTACTGACTCGCTGGCTCACCTCCCTGCATGGGCAGCCAGGCCTAGAGCTCCCTCAGCTGCTCTTAGTGGGAAGGGCGCGAGCTTCTCCCTTGGGCCACCAGGCACTGACGTAGGAGCTGGTGAGAGGCAGACACTGGCCGCAGCCATCTTGGTAGGTCTCAGTTTGTCCTTGCTCTTTGTGTGATAGGCTTCTTCCCGACTGCTGCCGCATTGAGCTGAAATGACCATCACACAGCCTTCCAAGACTTCTTCGCTACAAATGCGTAGGGTCTGATATCCATAAGAAACCCGTATTCCCATGATCTGTCCCTAACAGATATAAAGGATTAAGATGAAGCCCGTGAAACACAGATGCGGTGGACAGGAGTGACTCCAGTGAGCTGTTGTTGGCCGTTCGTATTTTAATGTGAATTAGCCCATCGGCTTCATTTGTCTATCACTCCCCTAGCGCCTAGCATCTCAGAAGACAGTCCTAGGCACGGGATAACAGCCACCTGGGTGAAAGGCAGAGAAGAACAAAGTACAGGGGATGTGACGCCCACAAACGGTTGTGGGTTTGTTGTGGGATGTAAACGAAATGGGAGTTTCTCCGGGGGTGAAAATTATGCTGAAGGAGGAGAAAGTTCACTGCTCAATATGAACCATTTGGACGCCACAGTCTTTGCATAATCATCTGCCCTCACAGTACAAGCAATGCTGGGGCAGAGAGGCAGCACCTGTATGCCGACAGCGCCCCTAGTGGAGAGGAGGAGAACTTACATCCAGGTCACAGCACTGCCTCTGAGACCTCACTCCTACCCAGGTACCTACTCTTTCTCAAGTCTACTTAATTCCAGAAAAAATTAGATTTCTTTCTGCTCTTGAGGATGGCAGTGATTCCGATTTCTTTTTGCTATTGAGAGATTTGGTGGGGCTAGGGATTTGAGTGTAAAGGTTGGTTAGAAAAACAAAGCTTAATTCAGCTTTCTGAGGAAATTTGCTTATTTAAAATTTTAACTTTAGGTATTTATTTAAAAATTCAATTAATGTATAATAACTTTAGAAAACTCAGCTAAAATACATTAGCAAATCATTAATAATCCCATAATCTGGAGGTGACCATTGTTACCACTGACGCGTGGAAACACACTTTTCAGGAGGCAGCATGAAGTGGAAAATGCACCGACTGGAAGTCAGAAATCTAGGTTCTAATTCCCCCTTTCCCTTGATTTTCACACCCCTCAGCTGAAGAAAATTAGTGTTGAACTTAACTATTAAAGTGAAAGTAAAGGATGTGAATGCTGTTGCACAGAGTGAGCATGTGTCTTTCTGTCTCCCTTTTGGCGAGCTAGTGAAACAGTTGGAGGGACCTGTAAAGCTCCACACTCAGAGTGAGGTGATTCAAAGGGAGAATGTGAGTGGCACCCCTGGCATCGGAGGAGAGAGCCTCAGCGGTGCTCCTGGCTTCCTGGCTTTGCTCTGGGAGGAGCAAAGGGGCCATTGCTGCTCTGCGCGCATCAGCAGGGCTGGACGGGAAGCCTGGGGCCTGTAGGCCTCAAGAGGGGCTGCGTCTGGTGGCTCTTAATGTTGCTTCTAGAACTTTGAGGCTGTGATGCTAGTGAGGTGGGGGCAGTGGAGCTTTCTCCAGCTCCCACACTCTTCTCCCCTGTTGCTCCTGGAGGCCATGAGCTGGTTGCCAGTGGCCAGAGGAGGAGAAAACAGCAAGGCCAGGCTGAAAGTGGCCCATCTGAGGATCAGGAGCCCCACCTAAGGTCCCATCTGGGTGGCTCAGGCCCCACCTTGGCCAGGCGCCAAGGCTACACGGTATTCATTAAAACATGAACATCCTGACCAAGACTTTGAAGATAGGAATCGCCCATCCCAAACCAGACACTGCCCACAGGCAGCCGAGGAGGAAGCCAAAGGTGGTGAATGATTAGCAGGACTGGCGGCCGGTGCCACAGTCTATGGACGCCGAGTACCTGGGAAGAGTTTCATGAGGAAAGCTCAGTTTGACCGCAGGAGCCCACGGAGGTCCTTCATGGCCGGCTGCTCCACGGCGAGACCCCCCTCAGAGCCGCCCCCCACCCACCACCCCACACTCTCGAGGGGCCCCAGGCTCAGCCACTGCTCCTTGTCTGGCATGAAATGTCAGAGTGAGTCAGAAAGGCCTCGGGAATTCAGTGCACGTGAATTTACTAAAGGCTGTGGATCCTACTGGGTGCATGAGGCAAACATAATGAGTATATGACATAGTTCTTATTCTCAGAGAACTTAACAATTTGAAGGCACGCACCTCTGTACACACAGTCAAGCACACACACAACGCTAGAGAAGTGGTTAGACTACCTCTGTTCCATAGAAATCAAATGTCACACAGGTAGTTTTAAATTTTCTAACAGGAACATTAAAAACATACAAAGATGAAATTTTATTTATTTATTTGTTTTGTTTTTAAAATTTTTTTTAGCATTTTTATTGAGTTATATTCATTTTACAATGTGTCAAATTCCAGTGTAGAATTTTAATCAGATATATTTCACTCAATCTGTCCAAAATATAATTTCAGTGTGTAATCAATAAAAACATTATGAACGAAGAATTTTAGATTCCGTAAAGTCTATAAACTCCAGTGTTAACGTTTTACATGAACAGCACATCTCAATTTAGAAAAATCCGTGTTATGGGCTCAACAGCTACGTGTGGCTAGTGGCTGACGTATTGGGTTATGCAGATTTGGACAGTATAGAATGACATGTTGACTCAATTTTTAAGTTTCAGTGAAAAGAACAGTTCATGGTTTGGTCAGAAAAGGCATCCAGACAGGTATGCTGTGAACTTGATGACTGGGATTTTAGTACGGTGCTTTCCCAAAGCATCTTTTAACTTACTTCCTTTCTGTTTAAGAGGGGCATTGTCGTCATAATCATCATCAAAAAGAGATTCCATCTCACCTTGCCGTTAGGCAGAAATATGCCACAGGAGGAAAGCAAGCCAGAGGTGAGGGCTTGAGCAGAAACACACAGGGAGGGCGTCCATGGAAATCAGAACAAGGTCAGAGACAGCCCGTTTGTTCATGGGTCAGACACTTTTCATCTTATTTCAGGTGAGGGTTACTAAGCCTTGGGGTTTGCCACTGACTTACCAGGACAAAGCCCGCAAGAGATGGAAAGCCGCTTTCTCATTTCTTAGTTTGAAAGGACCTACTTGCTTTCTTTCTCCCGGCACACCAGCTCATCATTTTTCTCCTTGAAATTTCCTAGAATGGGAGATTTATACCTCATTGCACAACCATGACTTAGGTTTCATAGTTTGCAGGGTAGATTTCAGATACTTTTGAGGATCACATTTCAACAGCTGCGGATCTCTTTTTCTTCTGGAAACTTGTGGCAAGGTGGACGCACACACTGACCTCGGTTATACCTGTTTCTTCCTTTGTAGCTCTGGTATCAACTCGCACCCGTGGCTGAGGACAGAACTCAAGGTTCCTGGGTCTGTCTCACCGTAGATCATTCCTCTTCCAAACCAGAATATGCATCCCCACGTTGGGAGTTCACCTTTGTGCCCTCTTGTGCAGGATTCTTAATTCTGTGTTTTGGGAACCCTACTGTAAGTTTCGGAATTCCCTGTGGGAGATGCATCTGTCTCTGACCACTCGCCTCCCACGATGTAGAGTGTGGCTGGGAGGTGGCCACCCAGCCAGGCACCCTGTTGCCCAGCCGCTCAGTGACTGAGTCTGGGCCAGGGGACTGTGTGTGGAAGACGCACAGCGCTTAGAGACGTGCCCCACAGAAACCTCTCCTATTCTTCACCCTTTCTTTTTCCGTATCTGCCGGCTGAATACCGAAGATTGTGAGGTACTCGAGAAGGACTAAGTCGCAAGAAGGAGAGAGTCTGGCTCTGAAAGACCAGGGGAAATCCTGCCTGCTAACCAGGAATGCTGGCATTTAATTTTATGAGTGTGGGAGAAATCACCTCCTGTTGGGTTAAGCCCATATGGTTTAAGGGTTTATCTGTTTGAAGTCAGTTAATTAATCTACATTGTCTGTCAGGCCTCCGGCAGGCTCACTGGAATCTCATATGAATTCCACAGGCTGTCAACTTTGATGTGCAAATTACCTG